AAAAGAAGTTGCTAAGAATGAAAAGATTTCAGCCGATTTGGGAATTATTGATACATGAGTTACAAAGACTTGTTACTTGTTTACAAGAGCCTGAACAAGAGATTGTCTTTTTGAAATATTTAAGAGAAATTACTAGTACAAAAAAACTAAACTACTAAAACAACTTATGCTGAAATCAATGTTTGATACATCAAAATAAATATTAACATTGAGCTTATTTGTAAATTCTGATTCCCTTGAAGCTGAAATGTTTGAAATGCTTTTTTATTTCACAACTATTTTTTATTTTTCATTTTACAATTTCTACATGTCACCTCATAAGATTTAAGTTAATTATCTGAAATCTGGAAATCCTGAAATCACCTAAAGAAGTCCCACTGAATCTGGATTCTGGAATTTGTACTAATTCGTTCAAGAAGGGATTTTACCCTAATATATATATATATATATATATATAAATACAGGCACAGCGTGCACCTACATATTAATGATGGAAGTAGTTGGAGATAAAATATTCTAAGCTACTAGCAGATTAATAGCAACAGAAACTAGATGCAAGAAATACATTTAACCCTTTAACTGTCGAGTTACTTTGATGATTTGGGTACACAAATTGTCAAATTTTTTTATTGGAAAAATCAAGTGTTTAGTACAAAATAAAATATACTTAAGTAGTTAAAAATTGATATTTTGAAGTACATGGGTAAAATTTTTAGTTTTGTATTTGCTTGAGGCGGCTGCCACTCAACATGGCAGTCGTAAAGTTCGCTTCTAGTGGAGCATTATTTTTAAAAAAATTTTTTTTAAATTATTATTTTCTAAAAAATAAATAAATGAAAAAAATAAATAAAAGTGAATACATATTAATAGTTCAGTAATTCAGTCTTGTGTGGTACAACTGGAAACACTTTTTCAAGCACAAACCAACTCCACACTCACTACACCAGAATCATGTTTCCTTCCTTCAGTAATTCAGTCTTGTGTGGTACAACTGGAAACACTTTTCCAAGCACAAACCAACTCCACAATCACTACACCAGAATCGTGTTTCCTTCCTTATCTTTTTCCCATTTTTATCCTTTTTCGAATAACACACTTTGCACTATCTTGTAGGCTCACGTTTCACAGACGTAGGAGGAATATAGGAAATAAAATGTCGTTCAGTAAGATGGGCAGGGTTAACTATTGTAGGTGCTCTGATAATATTCTTTGTCCAGAAGCTGCATCATCATATTTATGTAAAAGCTCTTCTACAACTTGAATTCGAAATTCTAAAAATGTAATACGTTTCCCAACTATGTTTTTATAGAGTAAATATGAGTTCCAAACTACCGTGTCTAGTGAATGCAAAAATATCTTTTTATAATATTTTTTCTGACTTTTTCGGATTGTTGGATGAAAGGATATTTCCTAATCACAGCGATCTACACCACCCATAGTTAGACTGTAGTCAGAAACAATCTTCGGCTTGAGTATATCTTCATTTTTTTATTTTTGAGGCTGACCATGGAAGTATCATGAATACTGCTCATCAGACACACATCCTTCATCTTCAGTTGAAGAATCTAAATCATCTATATAACGTTTCAAAGAACTGGATGCCATTTTACAACAAAAAGATCCCATGCACTTTAAACCAAAGAACTTATAACCTCTAACCTTTAAAATCTTCAGTAAAGTGCTGTCATCTATTGAATTGAGCGCACATTAACTTTTCCCGAGACACAGTGGGGTTTGCAAAGAAATGAAGCTGAAATAAACGTCTCCCAATACATATTCGGGTATAACAATACGATGCACTCAAAAAAAATTACCCCGAGTAATACTCGGGCATGACATTTTCGAACACCAGTGCTGTGCCCGTGGGGATGTATGCAAGAAATAAATGTAAGTATAGTATACATTTCATATCCTTCTGTAATTTGCTATGAAAACAGGTATAGTTTCTTGCTTCAAGAAAACATATCATCCATCTGAAAATACCTTCCATAGTATGAGATATAACCGTCCAAAAAGCATTTGTATCTATGATACTGGGTGAAAGATCTATGATACTGGGGTAAGAAATCTAAGTCAAACAAGATAGATTCACACGATTATACTATTGTCTCCGATTTTCATTGCTGAAATAAATAACATACAACCAACAAATGTATTCTCTGTGAGTCTCCTAAATCTAGACATATCTATCAGAATGCAAAATAAGCTACTGCGCTGTATAACTCTTCAAACTGATCTACAATACGGTAACAGTGAATAAAGTATCATTTAAAACAGTACTCAAAGATACTTAGGGCCAAGGTAACCGATGTTTTCAAAGTGATTACAATTATAAAAACTACATCCCAGTACATAATTGATCACTTACCTTCTTTCCTAAGCCTAAGTGGAAATTATAACAGTTAAAACTGCCAAATGATTCCATATGATTACATGTTACTGGTCTAATATAGTCATTTTCTTCCATTGACTACATTTTCACGCTTCTATAACATTTGGATTTCACAATAATAATAGTTCAAATGCCAAGAAACACTCAACTAATGATCAAACTTATAAATTTTATTTCCTATGCCAGAATGATCTCAATCATATTAATTCATGCATCGTGACAGAAAAACACTTAGTGCATTTTTATGATTGCTTTTAAAAGCACTACTCCTATGTATTCCTAGCATAAATGTGAATGAGTAATTGGTGACATTTAGGTAGATATGATAAATTAAACAGGACACTTTGAATAACACATGAATTATGAAGATACTTTTTTTAGTACAAATTTACATTCTAAGAAGGATTTTTAAAAACCTGAAATATAAATATAGAAATTAAAACTAGGCTTGCAAAATGAGTGACCAATATAAATGCTTTAAATCCACTCTTATTACTGGGAAATTCATCAGTCCTACATTTATTAAAATTTAAATATAACCACATGCTATTACATCGAATAAAATTCTCTGAATTGTGAAAATGAAATTGAAATGAATACAAGGAAAAAGTAAAAAATATTATTTTAACTTGCATTTGACAAAATACAAATACACTTCCTAATTCTTCTCAAGATCTATTATTATGATCTAGTACCCTTTCTCCTAAGTGACTTAAACTAATATTAACAACATTATGCAAGCATGAACATCCAAGCTTTCTTAAAAGCATGAATTTTGAAGAGGAAGATTTCCAAACTCGTTGTAATAAATAAATAAATAATATCTCATTGAAATAACACGAACTGGGGAAAATTGCAATTTTATCAACTGTTCATGCACTTTAATAAAAACCAGACATTTTTAATTTGGGCTAATCATAACAAAAATAACAAGCTTATTTTGTATTTGTAACTGTTATTAATGACGTTATAGATCTACAGGTACTTTATGTGGATGAAAACAAACAATAACTCAATCAGAATATGGCCTTTCAAAATTATTCAAGAGCAAAATTGGCTATATACTAACTCACAGGTTCAATGAACCCTAGTCCTAGGATTAAAATAAAAGAAAGAATTAAATGAATCTACACAGCTCTTTGTTTTGTTATTGATAATTATACAATAAAAATAATGTTTGTTACATCATACAAAAGAACTAGCTTGGTTTATAATTATAATATAAACTAATATGGAGTTTTATTACACTCATCATGCACAAAGAATAATTTTAAACTAAAGCATTTTAAGCATATTTTAGGCTATTTAATTTTTTTTATTTAAACAAAAGGATCTATTATTTTAATTTTCACTGGTCCTTAAAATATACATTGTCCATGATTATGAGGTTATTAAAGCCCAAAAAGTGCATGAAAATAAAACTGGAATTTATTAATATCAGATCATCACAAAATATGGAATATATTCAATATCACACATTAAAACCAAGTCTACCATATATTAAAGGAGATGTTAAAAACAGTACAAGATGCCACATTTAGATTACATCACCATAATAACACTTAACAGAAGTTCATGCCTGAAAATTGATTATTAATGATAAAAACAACAAAACAAATGCAGTTTCACCTATACATACATTACCTCAATACAAAAACTGAAATAATATTTTGCAAAATACATCAAATACTAGTAATGAACAGTTATAACCAATATTGATTAAGTACATGATTTATAAAGCAAAGTATTATTACAGTTATGGAGAATTTTTCTTACAGAAATTCTCACTTATTCATCTGGAAATCATTACATGCTGGAAAGCACATAAATCCCACACATCCAATATAGATATATCCATTTGGCATCTCCATGATATTCAAAATAGGGACAAACTGCAAGCACAAAGCTACTTTTTCCACTCGTATATGGTGTATTCCAATATGTGGAATTCATATACTTACTATTAAGACCTCAAACACAGACAGTTGTAATAATGAAAACATTTAATACTACTCCAAATTTACTGACATCTTGCTTTCCTTCAAATGCTTTTTATCATTTTCATAATTTTCTTTTTCTGCTTTGAGCTTGAATCACACAAAAACTAAATTTTTAAAGTTCCCATTGCAGTAAACCTATTTACAAAATTTCACATATCATGCATGAAAATGAATATGAAAAATTCAAACTGGGATTCATGTTTCAAAGAAAACTAACATTTTGTTAATTACTAAGGCTTAAATAAAAACTGACTTGTCAGAATTTACAGCGCCACTAATAAATTAACTGAAATTAGTTTTTCAATATGCATAAAAAAAAGTCGTTCCAAGACACGCAGAACAGGAAAAAAAATAGGAGAGTTATTTGGAAAACTAATGTAGCCAAAATTATTATAACTTATACTAAAATTTGAAAAGTTTTTTTAGTACATAGGTTATATATAATATTATTTAAAGAAAACCTATGATGACTTCCATCCATTTTCCCAAGGAAGATGTTAACATGAACACTGTTTTAAAAACTTGAAAACTAGAAATAAGCAGATTGGGAAATCAGTGTTATTTTGACTATCATTTAAAGAAAACTTAATTTTTTACTTTACACTTACCTTTTTCACGTAATAACTTCCATATCCACTTCCTCTACGGCCTTGGTACCCTGGATCTCGATAATAGTTCCGGCTATGCTGATATGTAGGATGCATTTTCGCCAATTTATAAAATTCATAGATGGCAAGGCAACACGATAATAATAAATAACAGGAAACTAATTAGCTGCAATCAACACTGTTAATATCACAGATAAAACGATCCTGAGGATCATCGCAGTAATTTGAGATAGTAGGACGTCACTGCTTATTCCAGCGGATAATAGTAGTATTCTTCTTCCCTGAAAGATTTCTGAGAATAATCCAATTTTAAAACCGTCTGAAGTAAGAAAATGCGGAGCTATCCTCGATACAACTCTCCACTGCCACTACCATCCGGAATTTCTTCAGCCGGCAACTTCCGCCACTGCCAAATATTCTAACCCGTTCGCTTGCTCGCCTTCAGGGCTCGGCCCTTCGGCGAAAAACGTCTTCACTGGATCGAGAGGGAAAAAGCATTGAAAAAAAAAGTCCCTCGACTGGACGGAAAAGAATGTTTATCAGATCCCGTTCTTGCTTAAAAGGGAAAAATAAAAATCACCATGGCATCGCGATGGTTATGCAGAAAAGTAGGCCACCACACGACTCACAGCTGGGCGATTCGGTAACGCCCACTAAACTTCCGAGACTTCCCTTTAAACATCACCGTGGCTCACAGCGTCAATTTTTTTCAGGCTGAAAACTAGCATGCTACCAAAGTCCATTTGCCTTTAAACATTACAACAAGAGTTCATGCCATCGCTCTCTTCAGCGCACGGTGTTAACTCCCTGTACTCCTTCGGCTCTGAGCAAATGCTAAGTAATTTTTCCTGGTTATGCAATTTCAATGGGCGTATGAGGAAGAGCCTAGATCGCTGCTGCCATCTAGTGCTTGAAAACTGTAATGAAAGAGTTGCTTTGAAAAGTTCACTCTAGCTACAGCAATTCCAATCAAGGTCGTAACAAGATAATCCCCCCCTTCCCAAAAAAGGAGTCAGTAAAGAGAATGGAAATTTTTTGGATACAAAATTTTTAATATGTATTGAATTATTAAAGGTACCTTTACCCAAACTATTAGTATTCAATTGAACTTTAATAATACTAAAATTATAGTATGCACATTCTTGATTTATTCAAGTTGCAATACAATTATGACAACAAAGTACTATACACACGATACTTGAACTTCCTTTTTTTCCTACAGGATAATTTTAAATTTTATACTTTTCCTTTGAATCTCAGTTTTATCCTTATGACATAATTTCATATCTCATATAAAATCAACTAAATTATATAAGAATATCTTGAATCACTGCACTTCTAAATTGTACTAATACAACAGCAGAATATTAAAATGGATGACATTCTGAGAAAAGGAAAAATAATGTTATGCCTAATTTAAAAATTTCCTCTGCTTATTTGCTTCACAATAAGGAGTGTGTCTCAGACCTTATTCTCTGCATATATCTATTTACTATTCAGATAATGGAAGCTGCAGTTCATCTCACAAAGAAAGAAAATTCTTACTCCCTTCCTTCCCTGACAAAGCAAGCATTTTATTCAAGTACTATAAAGAAAATCACAAATAAAAGACTTTTAATTCCCCCCCCATTACATTGTGATAAAATTAGTTCTTCAATGAAGACACTTTTGCAGCAAGAGGATTTTTCAATTAAATGGATAAGAAGAACATCTCAAATACTTTGTTTACATTAAGCACATTATAGTTAACAAAATATATGCAGATAACTCCTGATTATTTGAGGGCAGATTTATCTGTATCTCCATTAATCTTTTCCAAATAATCAGGAGAAAGTTAAGCTTGTTTATTATTATGGAAAAATTATTGTCACAGACTGTCATCATAAAATGAAACTGCACACAGAAAATACAAAAAATGGGAGGAGGGGATTGTGTGAACTAACAGCAGTGATAGCAGATGAAGTCTTAGTATTTGGATGTGGTTTTTATTCACTCTAATACATATAAAAAAATAATGGTACTTGCGTATTATCGCAACCAGGTTGGCGCGATTTGTAAGTTTGAGTAAAAAAGTATGAATAGAAAGAAAATGCACATTTATTAATTACAGAAAAATTTTAATACAGTTTTTTATATTATTTTGTTTTAAAATATAAAATAGCAATTAAACCCTTCCGGTTTCGAATTTGAATAAGTTGCAGAATTATTTTTACGGCGGAAATCTTTTGGCTATTGCTTTTAGCACTGATTGAAAACCGTCTTTGCCATTAACAGCTTGAGCTTGGCGCCATATAAATTCGATAAGGTATGAGTCAAGATGATGACGGGCTGTTCCTCTCTGTTTTTTGTTGCGCCATTTGGCTGAACCCCACATGCGCTCTACATGTTGTGTGTGAATGCCCGTGTTGGGATCCACAAAGTTATATTTGTAATTAACAGTTCCATGCAGAAATCCAGCATTTTCGAACTCACTTGTATTGTATCCTTTCCAGCAATCCAAATAAATGATGCTTCCTTCCTTGATATTTTCGCAAATTTTTTCCATGAGAGTAACGGCGCTTCTGTTAGATACAGTAACCAAAAAAGTCTCTTTCTTTTCTCGGCAAATTCCGCCGAAAACCCACTGCTGTGATAGTACACGCCCCATAACACGTAGGATTGCCGTAAGTAGGGTCAGCAAATTTGGCGATTTATGCGAATTTTGGCCTGGTTGCGTTAATACGTAAGTACCCAAATAATTAACAAATTTGTCTTTTGTTTGGCACAGATTCCTACTGGAATACGATATATTGGGAGTTTAGAGTATACTTGAATTGTTGCTAGAAATAAGCATACTTATATGTTTAAAATTTTCAACATAACAATTAGATGCTAACAGATGAAGGCTAGGAGTTGGGGGGGGGCATCTGAATTTTTGTTTCAAAGGTTAGAAGTTAAACTGAAGTATTCTACAAGTTTTCCACAAAGACAGGTATTACCATATTACGTTACTGTTATTTTTAAATTATAATCTGAATGCTACGAGACAGAGGTTTTCACTTTAACATTACGTACACTTTTGAGATTTAAGATTAGAGTAAGAACATCTGTCAAACAATTAAAGATTGATGCCCACAAAAATATAAATATACATATTCTGAAGACAGACAAGACAAAAAAAAAATTTCACTCTTGCATCACTGATTAGTGTGTTTATTCATAATATTAAATGCAAAACAGTCAGATATTCCTGGCAGTTCTGTATGTTTTACAAAAAAACGAACTGCCATTACAATAGCATCAAAATTTTATTCAGTGGAGATTTTTTAAATATTTTTTTAATAAATATTATTACAGCTTAGATTAGTATACACTAAGAAATCAGGTTTGAAAATTCTGCAACAAAACTCAAAATTTAAAGCCAAATTTTCCCAGATCTTCATACATTTATCCAAGAAATCTAATCCTATGAGACTCATTTTTATGAAATTTTACATAATTAAAACAGCATCAACTTGTGTGTTCGTAAGAGAAAACTTTCCACCCAGTTTTTCGTTGATACAGCCAATACAGTTTGGACAGTAATATGCTTCAATTAGCTCATAAATCAATATTTACAAATTAATGTGTGTTGCAAGCTGCATAAATCCTGCTCATTGCCTTTCCTCTCCTCCCCTCCCCCTCGTGTATATGTTTGCCATGTTCAGAAGTTTCCCTCAAATGGACTAATTGTAACAAGGCAGAAACTACAATAGCAAATTATCGTGAAACTTTGGAAGTCATCCCTTTCAGTACTCATTGCATTAAATAAGCTGTTAATTTATCATCTTAAGGAGTTTCTACTTGCTTTGAATTGAATAAATTTTCTTTTGTACAAGGTTCATCGACTGGACAATAACAATACTGATTACATACAGCTCCTCTTTCACAGTTACTTTTAGCATGACATCAGAACAAAATGACACATATTAAAAAAAAAGAGATGTGCACCAATATGCTATGTTTTAGGCATGCATTTCACTCCCCCCTTTTTTTACCAATTTTACCTCCTAAAAACAGAAAGGGGGGAAATTAGGCAACCTATATTAATTCAGAGAGCAAGAGTAAGGTAGAACTTAACAGCACATTATCATACATTACTGTATTCTATATTTTAAAGAAATTAGCGAAAGATAGTAATTTGAATATTATTTACATAACACAATTTACGGCGGCCATGGTATTTTGTTCGCTTGTTGTTGCTGCTGTATTTCATGGTGCCATCTATTAGCAAGGATAGGAAGTGCAACAAAGGAAGCTTCCATTGCACTTGAATGTAATAAATAACCTCGGAGCTAAACTGGTGTCTGTCACATAGAATCCAAATATAATACTCCCAAACAAAAGCATGTTATTCCTTTTCTTCTGATCCGTCTGCTTTCCTGGGTCTGTTTCCTGCTGACAGCACCTGATAGATCACTACCAAACAACATGAAGATAAGAAAATCCACACATGGTTGGCTCACAAGTTGCAATCTTAGACCGATGACAGACCTTCGTGCCATTAGCAGGTGTGAGATTGTATGCTCCTACAAAGAAATAATAACTTTCCCAATAATATCTCTATCTGATGTTACAAAAATTACAATTTTGCAACTAACAACAGAGGATTTCAGCAGCTTGCAATGTGTCCCTCATTAAAGCTTCTCAATTTCAGTGAGGCAATATAACAACTGTATGTGATCCTGATAACCAATTAAGCACTCTCACCAGGAAATATAAGTCAAATATCTGCAAAACAAAAAACGTAGTGCCAAATATTTTGGTGACTGATCCCAATTTGACCCCAATGTCAATTTACCATCTTCAACTGGAATCTCGCATCACTACACTTCCCATCCTTGATAATAAATGATGCCACAAGACAAACACAAAACAAATGAATAAAAAAAAATAAAAAAAAACACCAATAAGCAACAATACCAGAGAATGCCACACTAATGACCACAGAGAAGACAAAGAGACAAACATCTAACCACCTTGAAAAAATGCCTTAAGACATGAGTAATGCCTGTCTCACAATGTAATAAAAGGCGCAATTAAGCACACTCATGTGTTGTCATAAAAGCTCACCAATGCAACGGTGAGTTGCATAAATACATGGGGCTCACGCCCACAATACAGGCTTATCACATTGACCAATCCAGTCACACCCTGCCATCTTACGTTTTCGGCAGGGAACTGTGCATCAGTCTTGATGACAAATCAAGTTCTTGCATCAAGAAAGAGATCAAAATATCTGCAAGACAAAGAGCAGTGCACTTTTGCTTGGTGATAAAATGCTTGGATTCTAGGGAAAGGAGTTCAACTCCAGGGTAATGTATTATCTTTAAAAATGCTGGGAGTCAGTACCCTCCCACTTCTCATCTTTGCTTATAGATGACACAACAAGATAATCACAAACAGCAAAAAGTGAAACATTTATAAATACATTGTATGTTTTATATTTATTTTATTTTAAGTATAATAAAATAAACAGCCACTCTTTATATTTATACATACTTTGCACTTTGCTACCATAAATCAGAAGTTTTTAAATCATGCTTCACATCACTCGTTATTAAAATGCTTTGTTTCTAACAGTACTTAACAGACATAAACTTATATTGTTATTATATAAGTACAGATTTTAAATTCGGTATTGACGCGAATGATATATTTAAAGAATTTGAAAAAGATCACATTATTAAGCAGCTTAAAAAAAATTGCTCGCAGATTAGTAACTCTATCCCAAGCAATAAAAACTTTAACCTATGAGACCTTTAATCATGACATTATATATTAGAAATATATGAAATTTAAAAGTTTTTCCTTC